ATCCAACCATCGTTTGTTACACCAATGACAAACTTCGAAGCGGCGAAAATTTCGCATATAATAAGGAATGAAGAGGAACAGGAGAAGGAGATCAACCTCATTTCCTCCCAAAGTGTCCTTTCTCATCCCATTGTCCCTCCCGAACACATGATTCCCCGCACTTTTTGTTCCAGCAATATGAACAAAAAGAAAAAAACAAAGAAGAAGAAGCAAATGAAGAAATTTTTTTATGAAGAAGATTCAATGAAGATGGCTGATAAAGAAATTCACCATTCACAGCCGTCAGAAAACAACAGTCAGCATACAAGTGAGTCCAAACCATTAATTAATATAACGTGTCGTGACAAGGAGTTTGTAGGGCTCATTGATAGCGGTGCTGCAGTGTCTGTGGTGTCGAAGGACACAGTTAATAGAATTCATCAACGAATTGATGAAAGCGATATGAAGTTGAAAGCTGTCGATGGTAAAGAATTGTCTGTTATAGGGAAAGTTAACCTTAAATTATTGATAGACAATGTGTTATTCATTCACGATTTTCTTGTGGTAGAAAATATTAGTCATAACCTCATCTTAGGACAGGATTTCTTACTTCGAAATAATGCGATAGTAGACTTTTATAATGAACAATTAATAATCAAACATATTAAGTGCAAGTTTAAAAGACAATATACACAAAAGAATAATGAAAGGAATAGTGATAATTCGGTGTATGATGAAAATTTATATTATGCCGAATAGGTTGATAGTATTATAATATTGTGTTACTAATGAGAATTTATTTCAGTTTATTGTTTATATGAATGTTTTAAAGCAATGGTGGTATGTAAATAAGGTTCAATACAATAGTCATTTTAGAATTTTATTTCAAAAGCATATTAAATATAACTTTGTCATTTTATTAGAAATTTTTTTCAATATACATATTATAAGGAAATTTTACACATTTTGTTTATGACAGATTAATAGTTAGTTTCATTAAAGTATTTTCATTTCTTTTAATTGTTAGCTTTAGTGTAATTTGTTGAGTGGGTGGATTAATGATATCGTAATACCCATAACAATGATAGGTAACAGGTTCGATTCTCTGTTCAACTTGGAATTATTCAATTGACTTTGAATATGATCATTGATAGGATTAATTCAGCATTAGGATAGAATATATATAGTTAATAATATGTAATAGGATAATATAGGTCTATAAAGAAAATTCCCTTATTATAAAAAAGGAAACGGGTTCGATTCCCTGTAAGGTTAAAAAATAAATAAATGAATAATAATGTTATATTTTGAAAATTTATCCAACTATGAAAAGATGGTATAAAGACTTATCATAATCTTAATGTTTTCATGAATATTAGCTTACCCGACTGAAGAAAAATGGTGTAAAGGATTTTACTAATATTTTCTTGATTGTTTTATGTACTACCACATGATGCGGACTTCCCGAGAGAGAGCAGGCTGGCGCTCATGCAGACGTCAGCGATACTGACGATGATCCACCCTGAAGATGATGGAGACACCCTCTACGAATTCGCGTCGTTTTCGTTTCAATTTGGTAGCGTCGCGTTCGTCAAACTCGTCACTTGTAGTAGTTTGACTTGGGGGTAGGGAACCCTTAGTATTCCATGGGAATTGGGTTTAATCTTGTTTGATGCTAGATGTCCTTACCCAAAATTTCTATTACGTTTGCGCATCATGGGTGTCTAATAAAGTACAAGACAATAAAGTGGTGGACCACGTCTGTATCTTTACTAAAGATGTATGAAAGTAAACATTAATTATAAATTCTTTTAGGTTTTGCTCAAATCCAGTTCAATGTTTACGAATCTTAGGAAATAGTTTGAATTTCGTTTCGTACATCTACTTAGTATGGGAAGTAATGAAGTTTCAAAATATAAATTTTCTTGATATTTAATGGTTTAATAAATGGGATAGGGTAAAGTTTTGCTGATAGATGGGATAAAATAAAAATTGCTTGGGTAATTTAAGTTATAGCTAGGGTTAGCTTTGTTTTTTTGTTTTTGCCGACTGATGTCGATGTAAAGTAAAGTAAAGTTAAGGTTAGGAGGGAGATGTGCGAGGGATTTTGTTAAGGTTTTGCTCCCGTAAAGTCTTTGCAATAAAACTTTGCAAACAGTTAGGGTTCTTTTCCCGTAAAGTTTTTTTTTTTGCAAGTTTTGCAAACTTATTGTGAGGGCTAGTCTGTAGTAAAGGCCACCTCCCAGTTGTATTTTTATCCTTAAGCAGGTAGGGATTTTAGTTAGGACCGTCGAACCCTCTCGATGTAGTAGGTAGGAAAAAAAAATTTTGTTCGGTCATCTGGTATGACAAAACAATTTTTTTTTTAGAGGTGCCGGAGGGATGTGACGTCCGAAACGTTACAGCCTCCTTGTTTAGGTAAACTCTTTGCTTTTGCAATGCCTACGGTTGGCAGTTATATTAAAAAGTTAATGTCATGATTTTAAGATTTGAAATAAGGAATCGTCTGTCTTATTCCATTCAAGATTAGATCTTCAGGCACCAAGAATTTCCTCTCGTATTTAGATAAAATACTTTTATATTAGCCTGAATGATAAAACAAAATAAATAATTTATCTCTATCAGTATTTTTCAATTAACGTCTACGCTCCCAGGTTCTATCCCTTCTGGGTAGAACTCTATATGAATACGAGCATTTGTACTCCAGTCATGGATGTTTAATATGTATTTCTATATAAATATACTTATATATGTACTGTATATGTATTCTATCCGTTACCCTAGCATCCCATAACACAAGCCTTACAGTGCTTACTTTGGGGCTAGGCTAATTGGTGTGTCGTAAAAAAAAAAAAAAAACTACTGTTTAATTGTTGTACTAATTAAAACTAAATTATTGTCTCGACTTGCTAATATTGTCCTTAATAATGTGTTTTTAAAAAATAATAATTGTGAGGTGGTGGCAGAATACCAGCGACAAGTCAAAACTTGACTGTCACATGCTGAGCCACATACCTTTTTGTTTCAATTATTTACTGTCATTCTGTTTGTGTATTGTACCAATTGTATGTTGAAACAAATAAATAATTTATTATTATTATTATTATAAAGAATTTGAGATAGAGAAACAGAAAAAGGAGAGGAGCTCGATGGCGCAGGTCGTTAGCGCGTTTGGATGCGATCGTTAAAGTTAAGCAACTTTCGCAGTGGTCGGTCATTGGAAGGGTGACCAAAAATCTTCTATCTCAAGTTCCTCCGTGCTTCGGAGGGCACGTTAAGCCGTTGGTCCCGGTTGCATCTGCAGTCGTTAGCATCCGCCAATCCGCACTGGGCCCGCGTGTTGGTTCATGGCCCAATCTCGCTATTCCATCCATAAGGAAGGCCTGTGCCCCAACAGTGGGGACATTAATAGGCTGATGATGATGATGAAACTGAAAAAGGTTTTACTGGAAACCACTTGCTATTACTACACTGACTAGTTACTTAAACAGAAAAGCGAAAAATCGCAAAGGAAATTCAAAACAAACTGACAGAAATGAATAAGACACTAATTTTGGTACTTATATATTAGTCTTACAATACACGGCGAAATGTAAATCGTAGAAATTGAGACCGGTCCTGGCGTATTGGGCGGCGCCGGTGTCGGCCTCTACGGCTCCGATGGCCAAATATCCACCACACCGCGGACCAACCTCACTGGCGACCAACAGACGGAGGAATCTCAAAACGGTTCACATACACTTACCCCCTTTGTATTCTCGACGTAGATATTTGGTATTCCCAATATTCCTGTATTGGTTATGGTTAGAAAACCTCTAATAATTGCTGTCTAACTTTGAACTGTTGCATAACATTAGCCATTTAGATACTGAATGTATGATTTGGCGTACCTGATACCCGGTAGTAGTTTAGATTAGAGAACTTCAAATTGTTGTTGTATAATATATTGTTTTAAACTTTCATGGTCACTAACATCTCTTATCTATTAGACAAGTCCGTCCGTCCGTCTGTGGTGCTGTTTCAGCGGCCAAACCGTAAGAGATAGATTAAGAGAATATTTAAGTTATAAGTTAAGAATAGTCTGATAAGACTACAAACCGGATTTGAGTAACGTAGCACTTCCGGTTTTCGAGAAATCACGAATTTCAAACGAAACCACACAAAATCTCCGAAGTTCTCAATTAATTAAATACATTTTTTTTGAAATCAGGTTTTGGTGAACATTTGGTTCACTGGTTTGCTAGTTATAGCTATTAACGGGATTGTTACCATGTACCTTGTTTTTTATGAGTCTTCGATATTTCGGCACTGTTGCAAGCGCCATGATCACGGAGTAACTGAAGCAATTGCGGGTAGATGTTATTGGCAGACATATCGGTCTACCCTCTGACGTCGACTTTTACTGCGTTCGATACTACCACTACCACTGGTCACATTCTCACTATTCACTCGCATTTGTTCCCGGCACACTTTCTCAATTACTTCAGTTACTCCGTGATCATGGCGCTTGCAACAGTGCCGAAATACCGGAGACTCATAAAAAACAAGGTACATGGTAACAATCCCGTTAATATCAATAATGTTGTTGTATAAGTTTAAATTTCTGTACTGCATTAGCCATTGTATTCTTGACCTGTGATAATTATTGTATAACCGGTTACCCTGTACTGGTATCGAGATCCTCAGATAATAATTCTTTTTAAATACTTAAAACTTCAGTGTAGCATTATTCACGAGTACTTGATTTAACGCTCCTGATGTCCAGTCCTGGTTTTGGTTGGATTACCTCAAAATTTTAACAAATTCGTAGGTAGTAATGAAAAATCCCCGAAACACCATATCTCTTTGATCTACTAACATGATATTGTAGATTCTTTCTATCGCATGACCATAATGCTTACCAAGTTGTTCTTTAGTTACCTTCTAATTCCAGTATCTCTTCTAAGAAAACCTTAATTTTAGCAAATCTGTGTTTTGATGAATTCAGAGGTAGAAATTTAACGATCATCGTTTTCTTGTAGGCTCTATGGACCAAGTGCCGATGATGCCAGCGGATGATCAGCTCCAAGAAGAGGAAGGTTCCGGTGCTGATCCTCAAGCCGCCCCAGTTATGGAAAGCTCTGTGGCTCAACCAAGCTTGATGTCTAGAGTAAGCTCATATTTTATTTAAGTAAAGTCAATTACATTAGAATTTCGTTGAACGTATCATCTATATATTATATTTATTTATTTATATTTTTTTTATTATTCTATTGCACGAAATGTTTCGGTTCAATAATAAAAGATTAGTTTCTCAGTTTAAAGTGAAGTATTTTATCTTAAACAGAATATATATAATTTATTCACTAGCATAATTATCTAGTATTCCTGTAGATTGCCCCAAAATATTGTTTAAATTTTTGTAAAAAACTATTCAAAGTCTAATCTATCTTAAGTCCAATCACACAGTTTCACGTTTAAACAAGTGTAACAGTATGAGGCTATAATTATTTTAATTACTGCAGTGGCAAATTAAACGCTAAGAGCGCCGTAGGCAAGCATCTCTTCGGCGGCCCTATATTGAAAATAACTCGTACTATAGTTTGATCGAAACCGATCCGGTCGATACGACAAACATAGCAATAGGGTATTTTCCAAATTTTTGAAAATTGCTTATGTTTAAAGATTGGGGCAAACGATTTAACAGAAAAATAAAAAGAAATTAATTAATGTCTTTTTTTTCTCCATTAAACCAATTAAAGTTAAATTTATTTTTTATGGTTGTGAATTTACCGCCAAAACTATGATTTCTACTGTGTGACGTCAAAGTTGTGTATGCTATGTAATCCTCTGAAGGTCAAATTATTAACTTTTTTTACGTTCGGTATAAAGGACAATGGCGAAATTTTTGCTGAAGTAAATCTTTAGCGTCTATAGATGTCATTATCAGAAATGTTTTGGCGGTTAATTCAAAACCATTAAAAATAAATTCAACTTCAATTTGTCTAATGGAGAAAAAAGTCATTTATTTATTTATTTTAATTTTTCTGTTAAATCGTTTGTCCCAATCTTGAAATATAAGTAGTTTTCAAAAATTTTGAAAATACCCAATTGTATCTTTCCAACTTTAAGCAGAGATCATGTATTATCGACAAGGTTGTTTGTAGGCGTAAGTATTAGTCAGTCCCATCCGTTAAATTTAACATTTGTATTAAATTGTAGCAAATTGAGGTTGTAAGCAAAAATAATAGTTTTTATTGTATAAGTAGGTGGCTTACTTACTGGCCCAATTAATTTTATGCCATATTTTTTTCTTTCTTTATTTTACAATTCCGTCCGCGCACATGACCAGTACCCCTAGCACGAACCAAAATCGAATTCGTAACGTTTGCGAGTCCGAAATGTCATTGTCAAATGTGTACTGATTTTTAGTTCTCGTTGCGTACTTTGTGCCGCTGCTGTTCAAGGTTTGCAAACTATTCGAATTCGATAATGGTTCGTGCTAGGGGCACTGTTTGCCTTAAGGATAATCTGCCTGTGAGTTACTGTCAAACCAAAAAGTTTTAAACTTGTCTGTTGAATAAGTAGTTGTAATTCTTGAGTTGCCTATCAAACCCTTCTCATTTAAAATGTCTATCAAATTCAAGATTTCTATTAACTCCTTGATATTTATTCACTAAATCTTTAATATTTGATTTGCCTGAGAAACCTTTGATATTCAAGTTGCCTGGTATTTAGTAGTGTTTAAAATCTTCTATTTCCTATCTCGTTTCTGTGTTAAAATTAATGCTTTTTAGGGTTCAGTAGTTCTGACACGGAATCCTTATAGTTTCGTCATGTTCGTCTGTTTATCCGTCACCGGTTTTGCTTGGAGACTGTTAACACTAGATAGCTGTAACTTTGTGGAGATATGTTTATAAATCATGCCGACAAAATGGTAGAATAAAATAATTTTGGAAATAAAATAATTTAGGGTAATTCCGCTGCATGTAACCAGGATTTAATTTTTTTCATCGTTTTGAACGTGTGCGGTATTGCGGAGTTCTACCCTGAAGGGATAGAACCTGGGGGCGTAACGTTATAAATGAAAACTAATTAGATATTTAACTCTTTTATTTATCGGGCGAATATAATATGTAAATTTTATCTATTTACGAAAGGTTTGGTGCCCTAAGTCCATCTGATCTGGAACCTTCTATCAAAAGACAGACAGACGATTCCTTATTTCAAATATTAAAATCATGACATTAACTTTTTTAATATAACTGCCTGCCGTAGGCATTGCATGAACAAAGAGTTTACCCAAACAAGGAGGCTGTAACGTAACGGACGTTACAGTATCTTTGTATAGGCCCTTTAAAATAACTTAGGGGTTGTTAAGACAATTTTTTGATTAAGGGATCCCTTTGCGTAGTATTGAACTTTAAAGTGCTAATTTTTGTTCGCGTAGGGCGCCACCCCCCTCTAAAAGCTTAATTATTCACTTAAAAAACCTGGAAAAAATCATGCTTTTCATGAACTTATAAGGAAAATTATAATTATTATGATAGATTTTTTTAGTTTAAGAATAAAAGTCGTTAATTCACGTATTCGAAAATTTCTGACCTAATAAAAAATCCTTAGAAGAAAACATTAAAAGTGATTTAAACGAAGTAATCGCTTAAAATATAGACTCTTTCCAAAATATATTGTGGTGACGACGAGCAACTACGGAACCATACACTGCGCGTGGCATGACACGCACTTGGATAGTTTTTTCTTCATTTCTTTCTCTCTTAATTAAACAATTTACAGTAGAACGTCGATTATCCGAATTAATTGGGACCGGGGTCGATTCGGATAATCGAAAATTCGGATAATCGGACCTATGTCCGATAGCTTCTTCTATATGTGGATTTCTCAATAAAAAATCGGATATTCAGATTGTAGAATATTATTCTTAGTAAAATACAGATCTATTAAAATTATGTGCGCACGTTGTCTTTTTTGAATTCGAGTCTATACTCGTAATAAAGAAAAACTCACTGTCACACATAGAATAGACCTTATTAAGTTTAACAAATACAGTTCTACAATACTAAATACAGCAATAGAGGTACATAGTATATAGCTTTCAACCGCTATAGTTGAAATATATCTGGATTCCAGCGGGTTCCAACTTGTTACAACCAAACAAAACAAAAATAAGTTGTGTTTTTATTTATTTTTAAGCATTTAACTGCTAGATGTTAATGGTCCGCGTGGATTTTTTTCTAGTAAACTTGTCTTTAGATTTAAACATCTAGCAGTTAAATGCTTAAAAATAAATAAAAACATAAATATAATTGCTATTTCTTCTTTCAAATGTTTAATACTTGAAAAAGTATTCATTTGACATTGTGGGTTGCCGACAATGCGAAGAGATGGCGCTGCCTTGCAGCTTAAGGCTAGGAAAATTTCGACGCGGCGAATAGGGCCGTGGTAGCATAATGGTCAGTGCATTCGCCCGGATTGCGAAGGCCGCTGCCTGGTTCGCGTGGATATTTTTTTCTAGTAAACTTTTCTTTAAAAATAAGTTGGTTTTAATTTTTTATTTTATGCTTAGGACCGATTTGGATAATTGGCGATTCAGTTAATCAGCGTTCGGATAATTGGCGTTCTACCAGGGTTTGTTTACCGGTTAATTTTCAAACCTAACTCAGTATCAAGTACTTTAGGAGCGTTTTATTTAGGTTTGGTTCTAACTTAACCTTAAAAAAACGGTTTTCCTAAAAAGCGAAATCAAATAGGTTTTGAATCAATTTAGCGGTTTTTAAAGGGTTTCATTTCGCTCTTACTGGCGACATCGCCTTCGCCGTTTCAATTCAAATTTATAATGATTTTATGTCAGTTTCTTTCCAGTTTTTTTCCTACAGAGCGAGTGAGTGAAGTAGTGTGTCAGTACTAGGGCTGCCATCCGTCCGGGTTTCCCCGGATTTGTCCTAGTTTACAGGGTGTCCGGGGAGCGTCCGGGCGGGGTTTCATTTGTAGTCCGGGTTTATAAATTTTCTGTTTTTGATCGCCAATTGATCCCTCAATATGCCTTTAAAAAAATAAACAAATCTATTCTAACATCGTAACCTTAAATGCTGACTTCCTACAAAGATCAGTACCCCTAGCACGAACCAATATCGAATTCGTGACATTTCGGACTCGCAAACTATTCGAATTCGGTAATTTTTACACTGGTCGGTCAAGCATCCCTCGGATGGAAGTAGAAGGGTGTAAAGACAGACTTGTGTCCGAGATTGAGATGTTACTGGATCAAGTCTCAAATTGGAGCCAACAAAATTTGATTGGATTAACCCAGCAAAGACACATGTGTGTGTGAAAAAGCTTGGGTGCTGAATAGATACAGTAAGTACCTCAAGCCTAAATATCGGGTGTTATTTTACAAAGTACTGGTCCTCTGGGCTGGAGCACCCCAATACCAGCTCCTTCCTCTTGACCGGATGCAAAAGCGAGCAGTTTGACTTATCGATGATCCTGAGCTCACTCACGCGTTGCAACCCCTTAACTACGCAGACGGTACAACACGCACAAGGACGCAACTCCTTGTACGTGTTGTACCGTCTATACAATGGAGAGTATTCCGAGGAATTATTCAACCGGATGCCAGTGGCCAAGCTTCTTCACAGCATCACACACCGCAGAGAAGTTCACGCCCACCATCTGGGCGCCTGGCGTTCGAGCACCATGTGTTCCTTTCTTTTGCGTACCAGCAAGATCTGGAACGAACTTCCCTCAGTATTTTTTTCTTATAGCTATAATATGGTAATCTTAAAATGGCAGATGAACCTTTTCGTTCAGAGCCGGCAACGCATGATTGGCTGCTGGTGCTGCAAGTGTCCATGGGCAGCAGTGACCACTTATTATCATGTGGACAGCTAGCTAGGGCATCGGAACCGGTTCTACCCGGAACCGGTTCTGGGAGTATCTAAAAGAACCGCTTCTCAGATGTAAAAACCCGGTTCTAACGATTCTAACGGTTCTTTCGGTCTTGTCCTGGTTGCCACATTTTAGAGATGGCAGCCCTAGTCAGTACACAACTACAAAATGAATAACTTGACTCACTAGACGCTAGCAAACGTCTCAATAAATGCATCAATCTCTGAGCATTAACAAGTTGTGACTTGATTAGTTCAAACAAAACAAACTTCAAGCGATGCCGACGCGTGCACGTGTCGCTCTGGATTAAACCAGTTTATTCAGGTTTTAGGTACCGCTTTCATTTCGGACGCGCTCCGAACGAAACCTTTACTAAAAACCGGTATTAACCTTTATTTACCGGTATTTTCGAAACCGGTTACTAAAGCCCTGTGTTCTTCTGTATTTGTATTCATACATCGTAGGACTATAGAAATATATACCTTGTAGTCTAACATAGATAATATTCTCTTTAAGTCCTCATCCTTCTCCTGTAGTTAGTGTAACTTACTAACGTGTGTAGATCTGGCGATTTATCTGGCCGTCTTGGCTGTGGGGGCAGCGGAGTGAGGGGCGGAGTTGGGGCCGCTGGTCGCCGTACAAGCAGCACTACGTGCGGGAGGAAGACGAGTTGCGGTACTATGGTTACGGCAACTTCGGGGCTACTCTGCCGGGATTCGGGCGGAAGAGGTGCAGCGATCGGATAACTATACCGTGCGAGAACGAGTATTTTATATCGGTGAGTTTTTCCACGGTTTTTTAACTATTAGACACGGACTTTTGGACCAATTGAAATGTATGGCATGTGAAAAGCTGTAATCTATGCATCATCATCATCATCAGCCTATTAATGTCCCCACTGCTGGGACACAGGCCTAACCTATGGATGGAATAGGGAGATTAAGGCATGACCCACCACGCGGGCCCAGTGCGGATTGGCGGGTGCTAACGACTGCAGATGCAGCCGGGACCAACGGCTTAACGTGCCTTCCTAAGCACGGAGGAACTCAAGATAGTAAAGGAGATTGCTCAGCTTCCTTTCCTTCCTTTCTTCTTTGATTCTTTATGTTTGGCCTAAAGACCAATAATCATGAAAAATTGTTTCCCAGATTCGAAATTATGTATAAATTACTGTAGAAACGAATATTATTGACGGACACCCCTGAGAACTTCTATAAACCATATACACTGAACATATTAAAATAATATAAAACAAATAAGTTATATAGTAAACTAGGGAAATCAAGCCAAGTACCGAAATTATGGATTAGATTCAGGTATATAGAGCATGTAGATTAACAGATAGTAGCCTGTTTTTAAAGTTAATGCATAAGAGTAACTTTTAAAATCAGGTGTCATTTCCGGTTATAATATGGTACTCTGTGACAGAAACTGTGTGATGATTGTGAATGAGCCACAGATTAGAGAGAATTTTTAAACTCTCGTTAACCAAAGAAAGCTAAGAGATTTAGGTTCTATAGCCATATATTCAGTAGCTTCATTATTTTTGTTATGTTTTTAAGATGAAATGATGAAAGTCCATATTTTAGATTTTTAGTGTATCACACCTTATAATGTTATTTATTTATTAATTTATAGTCAGGGAACGAAGGCCCATAGATAGATACCTTAAAGTCTAACATATATACAGATTATAATGTGTTTATGGAGGTGTTTGGCGAAAAATGTATGGCAATAGACTTTATGATGTCGCCTATCATCTATAATAATTGTCTGAGCGCATTTGCATCTAGTGAAAATGATAATATAGTTGTGGATATTAATACCACAGTGTAATAATAAAAAGGATTTATTAAATTGATCTTTACAAAATAGATTTGTTTTTATGTTATATAAACAACTTCGATCGGTCTTTGGCTAAATGTTACTACACCCATAGCCATTAAAAATTATTCGTATGTTTTCCAAACCGGTAAAATTAAAAGTCCTTTTTAAAGTAAATATATTATACAAAGGTGTCCGTTGAAATCTAATGACTGTAAATTAAATTATAAATTACGCCAAGAATTACCATGTATGTCAATATTTTTTGTGCATTTAGGCCAATTTGAGCAATCTCCTTTTTGGTCACCCATCCAATGACCGACCACTGCGAAAGTTGCTTAACTTCAACGATCGCAGCCGAATGCGCTAACCACTTGCGCCATCGAGCTCGTCGTATGCCCTCGGACCATGGAAGGGGAGGGAGTTGCAACCCTCGATATTTCCCCCTTGTCGCATGATTTTTGTACGGCATTGCAAAATAATGAATTAGAAGAGGTATCCAAACGGTTTGTCGTGAATGTTATTTACGTAATCGCCATTTTGTTATCAAGAAAAGGACAACAATACAGCTCAGCCGTGCGGACTCCGAAGCGGACTCGCCGTTTCGCTCGCGCTGCGTTGAAGCGTACAGTTCTGTTTCGCTCGCTCGATTGAATGTTAATTTACGTGCTTGTACGTATTAGACCGGGAGATGATGACACAAAATACTTGGTCATTTGTACCAGTATGGCGGTTCTTCAGGGGTCTAATTACGTAAAGGCAAAAAGGAAAATGATGGTCATAGCGCTCGCACCGGCGGCCCAATCGCGTGGGCGTTAATCGAACGCGTCGGATAAATAACGAGTGTCGAACGATTTGTTCCACAAAAATGCTTATATTTTCAGATAGTCGAAAAAAAGAAGTAGGCGGTAGCGTAATGCCATACTTCTCGGGTGTGACTTACAGCCCGCCATACCGACGCGAATACATTAATTTAAATAAAACAATTCAACCATTTGTACCAGGCTAATTTTTGCATAGCTAATCATCGTCGAGTAGCCATTCACGAAAATCACCTTGCCATACTTTTCCGACAGTTCCCAATGGCCGCCATACCGCTGCAAAGGAGCAATTTTTTTTTTCGCCAAACGATTTGTACCACCCTGAAACTTTTTTTAACAGTTCCCCGTATGATCATAAATAGAAGTCTGATAATGCCATACCTGTGGGAGGTGGCGAATGTGAACAATATTTTTTCAAAGTCCCAAGATTTTATTCGTTATTCGAACGATTTGTACCAGTATGGCGCTACTTTTTCCCTCTACTACAAGTATGGCAAATATAATAATGGTCACATTGTATCGTATAATTTCCAAAAATCCAAATGCCATACTGGTACAAATCGTCAAATTTTTTTTTTCTTTTTCACCTTTTAGCTCAAGTCCGACAGTCATCCGCCCCATGTTTACAATCTGTAATAATTTTTTTACGTACAATTGCATCCAAATGACGAGAATACAATGATGTCATGATGTAAAAAATGATTTTACGTATTTTGCAGTCGTATTTTTAAAACGTGTCAAATAAATAAGTATTTCAAGTATGGCAGCACTTTTTCCCCCTACTAGAAGTATGGGAAAAATAATAACGGTCACATTTTGCCAAATACTTTCCAAAAATTCAAATGCAATACTGGTACAAATCGTTTGGCGAAAAAAAAAAATTACTCCTTCGCAGCGGTATGGCGGCCATTGGGAACTGTCGGAAAAGTATGGCAAGGTGATTTTCGTGAATGGCTACTCGACGATGATTAGCTGTGCAAAAATTAGCCTGGTACAAATGGTTGAATTGTTTTATTTAAATTAATGTATTCGCGTCGGTATGGCGGGCTGTAAGTCACACCCGAGAAGTATGGCATTACGCTACCGCCTACTTCTTTTTTTCGACTATCTGAAAATATAAGCATTTTTGTGGAACAAATCGTTCGACACTCGTTATTTATCCGACGCGTTCGATTAACGCCCACGCGATTGGGCCGCCGGTGCGAGCGCTATGACCATCATTTTCCTTTTTGCCTTTACGTAATTAGACCCCTGAAGAACCGCCATACTGGTACAAATGACCAAGTATTTTGTGTCATCATCTCCCGGTCTATATTGCGTGTACAGGAGTTGCTTATGTAGTCGGAGCATATTTTATTTGATGCTAGTATGAGCATACCGTATCTTCCCTTAATGTTTAATTAATCAAAGAACATAACTGTTAAAGTTTTATAAATCTGGTCGGTGGAGCTCGATGGCGCAAGTGGTTAGCGCGTTCGGCTGCGATCGTTGAACTTAAGCAACTTTCGCAGTGGTCGGTCATTGGATGGGTGACCAAAAATTACTATCTCGAGTTCCTCCGTGCTTCGGAAGGCACGTTAAGCCGTTGGTCCCGGCTGCATCTGCAGTCGTTAGCACCCGCCAATCCGCACTGGGCCCGCGTGGTGGGTCATGGCCCAATCTCCCTACTCCATCCATAGGGAAGGCCTGTGCCCCAGCAGTGGGGACATTAATAGGCTGATGATGATGAAGTCTAGATGGAGCGAATCAAAAACATTTATCGAATATTATTTATACCTAAGCTGAAACATCTTTTAGGTATAAAGAAACTATAACTAGAAAAAATAACCCACAATGTCAAATGGTTACCCACAATGTCAAATGTTACCTATAATGCGAAGAAATGGCGCTGCCTTGCAGCTTAAGAATGGCTAGAGGAATTGGTCGCGGTGGCATAATTGGTCAGTGCATTCGCCTGGATTGCGAAGGGTGCGGGTTCGAGTCCCGTCTGCTGCCTGGTCTGCGTGGATTTTTTTGTAGTTATATTTTCTTTAGATTTAAACATGAAGCAGTTACATGCTTAAAAATATATATATACTTTTCCTCCAGTTTCAATTCACCAGCGTCAGACATATATTTCAATTCCGATTTATTTTCTTTTCTTATTACAAAACTGTTATCCGACAACAGATTGATATCTATAAAACAGAGCGAATCTCTGTCTTATCGCACACCAAGTTCTGTAGACACAAAGTTCAATAGGTTCATGCAATATTCCCGAGGGATAGTTAGTGATGCACTCTGAGGTCCCGATGCGGTTGAAAATTGCTCCACACTTATTCGCTCAAGCGAACTTGTTGTTTGAAAAATTCATAGAAAACTTTAACTTTATCCCCCTTCTCACTGATAAATAATAACATTACAGTTTCTGCGTCGTCGTGTAGTTTTTTGTTCGTAGAAATATTAAGCGGGTACTTGTGAATTGTTCGCTTCGTTTAAAATACAACTTAGACCTCAGGTTTTTTTGTAGGAACGCTGTTTTAAACATGAAGAGTCGAGAATACAATTTTGATTAGTATTATTGCCTTAGATTAAAACAAAAAGGGTAGATACGGCATTCGCGGCTCAAAAGTGATCCGCTTATATTGTGGTCCACGACCATAATTAGCTTTAGTCACAATTTGACATTCAAACACCCTGCATGTACACTCAATATAACAATATTGCGTATATTCTGTGTTATAAAAATAAAACAATGCCTTCGATGCTTTTATAAAAAAACACAAATAGTTCAAAATCAAATGCCACGGCAACACTTTTCATTCGTATAACTGTAAAAACATTTTTTTCTCAAAAATCACGGTTTGTCGTGAATATTATTTCCGTATACGCCATTTTGTAAGCAAGAAAAGAACAACAATATCGCTGCGTTGAAGAGTATAGTTCTGTCTCGCTCGCTCGATTTATGTTTTTAAACAGACGTGTGCGTGGCGAGAGTTGCTTATGTACTTGAGTCGGATCATATTTTATTTGATGCTAGTATGAGCGTACCGTATCTACCCTTTTTGTTTTAATCTAAGATTATTGCGACAAATCCGGCAGTACAGCCCATAAAGTAATGCAAGCCTAGTATAAGTGAACTTGTCGGTACTGGTAGGCTGACGTCATTAAGCGAGTTAGGGGACCAACTGGATGTGGAAGGCTCTTTCCCAGTGGGCACTTTGGGTATATGCCCAGGGCCCAGTGATCGATAGGTGGGCACTTCAGATCACAAATACAAAGTCCCTAGTTCTTGTTAGATCACCAAACGGGGGTCATAGGGGCCCCATTATCCTAATATGCTCAGGGCCTCCAATAGGTCAAAGACGCACTGGCCGTACCGTTGTGTGTGGAGATCCCTAGACGAGCCCTATCATGATGATGATGATCATCATCAGCCTTTTAATGTCCCCACTGCTGGGGTCAGGTTTTCCCCTGTAGATGGAAATGGGGAGAGGTTACGCTATGACTAGCGATTGCAATACCGCAGCTCATTCAATCCCGCGTGATAGGGTATTTGACAGTGTTAAAAATAAAGTGCCAATTGTTAGCAACTGTGTTTAGAATGAATATTAGTGGTTTTTACTATTTTAACAAAAAAATATTCATGATTATACTAAAAAGTAACGAAAAAGATAATGGTTTTCTTATCTATTGTCACGTGACCCAAAACGCTTGGGATTGGCGGAGCCTAAAATGACGTCACACGCAAGTAAACTTCCGGTTAAAGTGACATTACATTGTATCGTTTGACGTTTTCATAACAGTCGTGTGACGTCACACACTAGTAAAATGCCATATTGTCCAGAGAAACGTTTTCGCGGCAACTTGAAAATGGAGTTTTTGATTTGGTTTATTTTTACTGAAATACAAAACAGAATGATGAATATCCACTTTTTACGGACTCCATAAACATTAGTCAATAACGTGAGATCGTTTTCTAAAACTTGTCAAATACCCTATTGATATGATTGATGCGGGATTGAGTTAGACAGAGTTACTCCTGAAGTCACCTTCCATTACATAATTTAGAATATAGATATATATGTGGTTGTAATAAGTTTTATAGTTAAAATTACAATTTTAGTGCTCTTATACTCACGAAGCGGCTTTAGATAAACAGATTTCTTTCCTCTATTGACAGAGCTCGTCGCTTCTCCCCGGCGTTTGCGATCCACACCACTGCGGCTTCACGTTCTGCGCGGGCGTCGCCAACGCCCAGTGTCGGGTGGAGACCTCCATATCGCCCTTCGCTGTATCCGTACACTTCGGACCGCCCACGCCCAAGCGGAGCCCGGAGGAGAACATAGGCGCCTGTTTGAGATATACGCAACTGCCTTGCGACACATAACAAGAGACTTTGAGAGAAGAGAGAAAGAAAATGTTTTATTCAGTGACACAAATTATAAATAAATAAATAAATATTTCCGACACTCACACCAATTAGCCTAGTCCCAAAGTAAGCACTATAAGGCTTGTGTTATGGGATGCTAGGGTAACGGATAGAATACATATACTGTACATATATAAGTATATTTATATAAATACATATTAAACATCCATGACTGGAGTACAAATGCTCGTATTCATCACACAAACATCTGCCCCCACCGGGATTCGAACCCGGGACCTCTCGAGTCGGCGACAGCCATGAAACCCGGCGTACAAACCACTCGGCCACGGAGGTGGTACGTGAATTAGTACATGAAACAAAATACCTTATACATAATTACAATAAATTGAAAGAAAAGTTTTACTAGAAAAAAATCCACGCGGACCAGGCAGCGGACGGGACTCGAACCCGCACCCTTCGCAATCCGGGCGAATGCACTGACCAATTATGCTACCACGGCCCTGATGGCCGCGTCGAAATTTTCCTAGCCTTAAGCTGCAAGGCAGCGCCATCTCTTCGCATTGTAGGTAACCCACAATGTCAAATGAATACTTTTTCAAGTATTAAACATTTGAAAGAAGAAATAGCAATTATAGTTAGCGAAGGGTGCGGGTTCGAGTCCCATCCGCTGCCTAGTCCCCGTGGATTTTTTTTCTAGTAAAACTTTTCTTTAGATTTAAACATCTAGCAGTTAAAATGCTTAAAAAAATACAAAAAAACCATAACTACAAAAAATTAGTTCTAAACATTTGCGTCACTAAAAAGGCTGTCCACTCAGCATGTGTCGGATGTCGTAGTGTGTGGTGTTTCGAAGTGTAGGGTGTTACTTGCCAGTCTCAACTCGATCAATGTTTCAGGAGGAATTTGTTTAGCATTTTTCCCTTTTGATTTATAAATCGAGCAGATTTATGGTTAAAATATTTGATGACTATAAATCCTACTACATACACATTATATATAATGATTACACAAGAACGTAAATTAGCACGGCACGACTTTTCTGAAAGAACGAAATAATGATAGAAAAGGGGTTTGGGTAAAAGTGGCTTGATTTTCAAAGTCTGCGGCCACGAATGCTTTATTTTTTAATGAATAGAACTAAAAAAATTAAAAATTAAATATTAAGGTCATATATCTGTAAAGTACATCGAAGCCAAGATATGATTTTTTTTGAAATAGAATAATCGTAAATTCATATCACTAAATCTTACGTGCTTTTTTGTATGAATTGTTGTCTAAAACATACCATTTAAGTTAATAACGGTATAACAGACCCTTTTTTGTCTGGTTTGACCGCCTCAGCTAATCACATCAGTCTTTGGATGGAACACTTAGGTCACGTGTATGTAAAGATCATGTCAACTCTATTAGCTCGGGATCCCCACAGGCAGGGTCATGGGACGGGCGCAGCCAGGGCGCACACTCGTCCTCTCCTGCCCACTCTTCTTCGGCGGGAGGGAGCGGCCAGGGGATCAGCCTCCCGCTCCCTCTCGGCTGCCTCATTCTATGAGAGGACGTTCTTGCTGGCGGAGGCAGCCTTCCATGCCGTCTCGCTACTGAGCATGGCCTCTACCATGCTCCTCAGCGAGAGGATTCCGCCTCATAGCGCCGCGATTAGGTAGCCAGGCCGGGCACTCCAACAAGGTGTGCTTGGTCGTTTCGTCCGGGGCGCCGCAGTGATGGCACTGCGGCGTTTCTTCGGCGGGCGATACGGTACAGGTAGTAACCGAAGCATCCGCCCGCGAGAAGAGGCCGCCACACCGGCTTAGCGCAGTGCCGACCGACGCCAGGCGAACCGCCTCCACTACCGACTTTGCCTTCGCCGCCACCAACGTGTCGTCGGCGAAGCAGACAACCTCCGTGCTAGGAAGAAGGCTGCCTCGCAACACCCAGTTGTACCCCAGGTTCCAGAGCAGTGGACACAGCACTGACCCCTGGGGTACCCTGCGGCCATGGCCCGAGAGCAAACGCTTCCATCGAACCCCTCGTAGAAGACTGACCTCCCCTGCAGGTAGTCCTCCACGATGGCTCGCCGGTATGGAGGCACGCAGTGAATATGTAGTGCCTCCATAATACACTCGTGGGGGAGACTGTTCTCTTCTTCTTCTTTCAACGGGCGTTTCCGCAACTCGACGTCCTTATGGCGCTTGTTTTGCGTTAGGAGGGTGTATAGCCGGAATCACTCCAGCCAGCCCAGCTTCATCAGGAACGCCCCCAGGGCCTTCACATTTGTGACTGCCTCTTGGATGTTTCCCGGTGAGCCGAGGTGTTTCGCCCGGTATTCGGCCACTCCGTTGCATTCCAGCAGAACGTGAGTAGCTGTTTCTTCTGCCTCCATGCAAGATGCATAGAGGGTTGTCCGTGACACCTAAGTTAAAAAGATGTCTGTTAAAATGTGCATGTCCGATAATAGCACCTGTTACCATGCGCAATGTGGGTTTGCTTAGCTGTGGAAGAGTTTTGGAGAGGACAGCATTCACCCGTGGCAAAGCGAGCTTGGTCTGCCTGCACGTCTCCAGATCGAGCCAGTGTTGCTGTAACGCGGCTGTGTGCTCGCAGATTTTATTTACGAGACAGCTTACCGGTATCGGGGCCATTGGTTCGGCACCTGTTGGGGTTAAATCGGACCCCTTCCGGGCCAGCTCATCCGCAGCGTCGTTTCTGCGTGATCCACTGTGTCCCTTTATCCATTGGATAGTAATAGAATTGCTTTACCCTACCGTGTTTAGGGTTTGGTGGCATTCTTGCAGGAGGCTTGATTTGACTAAACAGGCATCTAAAGCTTGTAGGACTGATTTGCTTTCGGACAGTATTCGTATTTCCTGTCCTTTCAGCTTGAAAAACTGTGTTGTACGGGCTTAAGGGGAAAGCGATATGTATATTGAGGTCCTCAGAGAAAACACCCGCGCCCGTGCCCGAAGAGGTTTTAGAGCTGTCGGTGTAGATCATGAGAGCCTTGTATGATACCTTGGGATCGTTGTCATCCAGTAGATGTATACTGTACTTTTTGTCAAATATGAAGGCAGGTATTATTTTGGGGGGAAGACTGTTAAAGGCGTTGCGGATGTCTAGCTACACCGCAATATCTTACCCCGACGAGTGGCCGCCTCGGTCCACCCCTTCAAAAGGGCTACCACCTCCACCGTGGACCGGTTTCGCCGGAACCCGAACTGGTGCTCTGCCAGATTTGGGTCCGGCTCCCTCAGGTGCTCGATGATATGCCCCGCCAGAATTCTTTCAATGAACTTCCCAGCGTCATCGAGCACTAATGCTACCGCGGCCCAGGTAGGTACTCTAGGTACTCTAGATCAAGTTTTTGATCCGTTTTCTTTTTTTTTCATTAATGTTAGCATTTAGAAAGTGTTACCACAATACTAAACCTGTATAATAATCTCAGGAGATAATTTAATGAGCTTTTATATCATATGACTTTTGTTAGAATTCAAGATCAAATATCTTGGTTCCGATATTAGTTATGGAACTACTACTTTGCTAAGAACAATTCACATATATAGTGCTATCAAACAATCATAAATAGTTCAGTGGCCGCTGAAAAAAAAAATCAAGCCAACCTCCATACAAAATTACTCAATCCCCTTTGTTAAAACATCATCAAAATCAACAAACTTGTATTAATCGCCGATATCTGGAAACTGTTGCAAGCGATATGATCATGGAGTAAGTTGAGTTACTCCGTGATCATGGCGCTTGTAACAGTAGTCATGGCGCTTGTAACAATAACCATGACGCTTGTAACAGTTATCATGGCGCTTGTTACAGTAGCCAAATATCGGGGACTCCTAAAAAACAAGAAAATAGGTAGAAATCTTGCTGATAACTGTAATGTTAGTGATCATGAAAGTTTCAAACAGTATAAACATGTATCAGTTCTCTATGGTTTTAGTGTCGTAGATATTTTGCTCTTGTGTATGTTGTGTGTGTTAAGTTAATTGCGAGACAGTGAAGGGTGACTTTCATAGTTCGCTCTTCGGAGCGCCTTCGTCCAAGAGGAGCAATGAAGAGAACATCGGCGCCTATTTAAGATAAACGCAAATTCCTTGCAAATATTTTTTTTTTATTTATTTATTCCTTAACAATATTACAGTGTTGGAAGTACAAATTTTTGCACATTAATAAAAAAAAAACAATTGATAAAATAGAATACTCTGATCAATAACTAAAATATAAATGTCAATAATATAAAAACCCAATCAGTATAATAATAATAATCAATAACATTGCATATTGTTATGGGGATTTAAGAATATGCACTTTCTTAAATAAATTAAATTGATTAAAAAAAATACAATTATAATCTGACTAATTACTAAAATAACAATGTCATTAATAAAAAATCATTTTTTTTATTAATAATCAACAACATTTCATAATAATAAATATAAATCAAAATGTCAATATGACAAGGGACTTTGCTGAACAAAACGAAAAAAGGAGGGAAATAACATATACTAATTTATAAAATGGACAATGGAAAGAAAGGTCCCCCCCCCCCCAACAGATTTGAAACAAGTGTCATTGGAAGCATCTAATAGAATAGATAATTTCTTACTATGGAGCCATGCTTCAAATATATGGGGTTTGGGTTTTATAAATACTAGTAGTGTCTTGCAGTTTCACCTTCAATAATTTTTAGAAATAGGTTATAGTGATTATACCTATTGACGGTATTGTTACCATGTACCTTGTTTTTTATGAGTCTCCGATATTAACCGCAAAATTCAAAAGAGTGTCGTTCTGCGATCTGGTACTGTGAGTATTGAGTGTCGAGAACAAGTGTGAGTGAATAGTGAGAATGTGATCAGTGGTAGGGGTATCGAGCGCAGTAAAAGACGACGTCAGAGGGTAGACCGATATGTCTGCCAATAACATCTACCCGCAATAGGGTATTTGACAGTGTTAAAAATAAAGTGCCAATTGTTGGCATCTGTATTTAGAACTAGCTTTTGCCCGCGACTTCGTCCGCGTTTTCGTCGATTTTCGTAAAAAAGTAGCATATGTCCTTCCTCAGGGTTCCGTGGTTTTGATGTGACAGACAGATTAACTTTCGTATTTTAGTAGGGAAATATAATATGTCAATCCACAATACTGTTAAAATTATCGCAATAAAGAACCGCAGAATATTATTATTATCACTGTGCCCCGAGACCATCAGCGTGTAACTCCTTGTATGTTATTATGTTAATGTATTGGTA